AGTATTATTATACAGAAAATAAATTTTTAACACTGATGTGATCTGTAGGAAACTGTTGCATGTTATCTTTGGTCTTCTGTAGAACAGAATTAACAGAAGAGCATCTTCTGTGGGAATTTTGCTTTAATTACTGGAATTTCAGCTACTGACTATTGTTGACATATTGTTTACACAGATTCGTTGAAGGATTTACTCTTATGAGATCTCTGCAGAGTCAGCACAATTATTAATATAAAGGAGGAGTAACGTATCTGTGGCTTGCTAATTGTTTGTCCATCATATGCTATCAGCTGCCAGTTGAAAGAATGTCTGAATCATGTGAATGACTTTTTTTTTTTTGTGGGGGGGGAATGTTATTCACCTCATAAAACACTTAACTAGCTGTTGCCTGGTATCTCAATACCTTCTAGTGAGTCTACAGTGGCAGTATTAAGCAGTTCTATGTGTGCCTTGAAAAATAAGCTATGCTTGATATTTATGTTAGAATGTGCATAGCAGTAGCTATCCAACAGTGAATATTGCTATGCTGTTTTGAAATGCTGTTTGAAAATACAGTAGGAGAAAAACTGAAGTTCAGTAAACAATGTCTTCAGTCCTTCCCTGCCTCTGCCCTTCCCAGTCTCGAGGCATTTTTTTTTCCTACCAACTCGTAGACTGTCATGTTGCATTCATCTTGCTGCTTGTGCTTCCATTAGTAGGAGCTGAAAAAGCATTATGGTCATGATTCTGAATACTCAGCTGCTTGTAGAATGAAGGGCCAAGACCTCAGAAACAAAATAAACCACAGTGAAGTAGTCACATGAGGCTTTATTGTGCAAATACTCAATCTTTGTGACAGTGAGGATGTTTGAGAAATTCAGGCCTTGGATTGCCAGACCTGTGAGAATGGGATGGATTATCTTCTTGGCTAATGTCCTTTAAGCCTACCGAAGTCTAAGGCTTTCAGAATGTGGTTCCGTGTCTTCTTTCTCTTTACATTATGATTACCTTATGAACAATTATACAAGTCTTATAATAATAGGAGTTATGCAGATTAAGCAAAGTTTATTGTAAACCACAGAACAGATTTCCCAAAAGTGCAGGTTACTGCCCGTCAAAAATTGTCAGGATCTTAATTGCTTTAAAAGACACTATGCTATTCATTACTGGTTGTAATTTTATGTTAAATACTAAAATGATTAGAAAGGAAGAAATCCAAAGGCTGATGGACTGAAAGAGCTGTTGCTTGTTTTCCAGCTGTCCCAAGGGCTGCATAACAAAGCCGCATGGGTTCATGGTAGACATAGGTTCTTATGTCATATTGGTTAATATTTTATTTACTAAAGCCACATGCCACTTTCGTTTCATTTCTATCAAGTGAAAGAGTTTTTTTGTAGACTAAGTGAATCCATGCACTTTGGGACACAAATTACATTTTTAATAGCATCCTTTAGGGTTAGATTTATGGTTAATAATATTTGTTACAATCCATTTAAAACTAGAAAAGCAAACCAATTGGAAACTCCATTCAAACAGACCTGATAGAACAGGGAATTAAGGGAATGAGAAAAAGTATGTGTTTGCTTTGCATGTGTCCCATAGTTCTTCCCAGCTTTCACGGCTGCTTTATACTGTGTGAGTGTAATCTCAAATCCCTCTACCCAGCCCATGAAAGACTCTTTTAGCCATGTTCGTGCTAGTCAGTTAAGCAGCCGGGTCTCTTCCCTGACCTGTAGGGTAGGACAAGTGGCACAGCACAGCTTGAAACTCTGCCCCCATCCCCAGCCAAAAACCAAAAGGTTGCCTCAGTTACAGAGCCAGCTGGAGATAGTGTGCCTGCATTGTGGCCAGGCATTACCTGGGAGAGCCGTAGTTGTCAGAGGCTGAAGCTGTGCTGTGGAGTGCGCTAGCAAACATTGCATGCCTGTGCTTGAGCTCAGCCTCTGCTTAGTTTGCTGCTCTGACAGAACCATATGCTACCTTTGCAGGACTGCTTGTGGTGAGCGTGTCAGGGCAGGAAGCAGTGCGCCGGACCGGAGCAATAGCAGACATTGCTGAGAAGGCT